TTTTACAAAAATTTAAATAACTTCTGAAATAATAAATTATGTTTTATTTCTTATATTAATTTTTTCTCCATTTTTTGTTTAACTGAACCAACAAATAGAAAATTTGATTGTAAAAATAGGAGGAGTTTGTTTATTATTTTTATTAGTCTAAATCATCCATTTTTTCTTTGGGGGTTGGAATTGTATGTTTTATTTTTCAAAAATTATTTATTTCCTCCATTTTGTTTAAGTGAACCAACGAACAAAAAAATTTCTGTCTTTTAAATAGGAAGAGTTTGAATCATATTTTTTATTGGCTAATAGCAGTCTATTTTTGTGTGAGGGGTTGAGGCTAAATTTTATATTTTTAAAGCGTAATATTTTCTTCATTTGGTTCTATTGAACCGGCGAATAAAAAATAATTTATAGCAACAATTCAATTATTTTAATAAATAATAAAATTCTTCCCACGAATTCAATTATTTTAGAAAATTTGAATAAAATTCTTTGCAACTATTCATTTACACAAGTAATAAAATTCATAGTATTATTTCAATTATTTTCAATACAATTTTACAAGAATTACTCAAAAAAATTTAATTATTCTTAAAAACTAAATTTCAATTCCTCGAAAAGATCAATTACATTGAAAAATTTTTTTTTTTTAATTCTTTGAAAGAATTCAATTACATATTTTAAAAATATTAGAATTTTTCACAGGAATTCAAAAATTCAATTGTTTTCAGGCATTTTAATAAAATTCTTTGAAAAATTCAATTATTTTTATATAATTAACAACATTCATCACAAGAATGCAATTACTTTTAAAAGTAATACATTTTTTCTTGGAAATTCTATTATATAAAAATTTTTTAATAAAATTAATCGCGAGAATTTAATTATTTCATTCATTTATTTATTTGGATATATAAACTGGTGATAATTTTCATAAATAATAAAATAATAATAGACTGACGTTTAATTATATAATTGGCAGTATTTAATTGAGATGAAAGCAATGATTATTATTAAAAAATGAAATCATAAACAAGTTAATGCAATCTTTTCTAAACTCGATAATAAGAGTTACATAAAGTTATATAAAGTTCTTTATATATATTAATATATTATAATCAATTTTTATTGTGGATATTGGGAGAACATTGAGGTATAATGGGAAAGAGATTTTTTTACAAAAACAGGGTGTCTATTACAAAATTCCCGGGTTTTTCCCGGCTTTGTCATAATTTTTCCTGATTTTTTTTTCTCATTAACTTCAAATCTATTTAATTACGAACATAAATTAAATTTTATGAATACAGGGTGGCCGCAAAATTTTATTTTCAAAATTCCCTGACTTTTCCCTGATTTTTCCCTGACTAATTTTTGATTTTCCTTGACTAACAAATTTTTGAATTATTTAATATTCTACATTAAAATGTCCGTAAGAAGGTTCAAACATATAAAAAATTTGACGGCACCATTATAATGAGCTATTTATATTTATAATTATAAAAACGTCTAAATAAAAAACTGAATTGACATTTAAGAATCAAAGTTTTTTAATTTGTGGTTTTTTTCGATCGAAATTCCCTGACTTTTAAAGAATTTTTAAAAATTCCCTGACTTTTCCCTGATTTTTCCCTGACTAACAAAATTCCCTGACTTTTCCCTGACTTTTCCCTGATTTCCAGTTTTTCCCTGACTTGCGGCCACCCTGGAATAACTAAATTCTTTGGACGAGTTTCTTTAAATTTTATGAGAATAATGTCTATTTAATAATTTTAATTGAAAATTTGGAAAATAATTGAATTAAACAAAGAATTTTTTAATTTTTAAAAAAATAATCTTGTCTGTTTATAATTATAATCGAAAATATGATTTTTTAATTTTATTAAAATTATATTGATAATAATTAAAATTTTGAAAATAATTTTACTATTTATAAAAATAATTGAATCCTATCAAAGAATGCTGTTATTTATGAAAATAATTTAATTCTTGCGAAGAAATTTAAAAAAAAATTTACAATAATAAAGCAGTAGTAATTAATTATTTATTTAATAAGTTATAAAAATTTAATTTGCTCAAGAAATAAATAATATCATTTATTTGAACATTCAAAACATTTAAAATTGTAAAAATTTAAGAGAAGTTTAATAATTATAATTATTGAAGAATAATATAATAATATAATTTTTAGAAGAAAAAATTAATTTAAAACTTTAAGAGGGACTTTATAATTTAAAAATAAAATTATTTACAAAATTTTCAATTATTTGTCTATAAAAATTCAATAATCTTGAAACAATAGAAGTGAAAAATTCCAAAAATCTTATTTTCAGAACTTTCAAAAAAACTTTGCAAAAATTCAATTTTATTAAAAAAATTTAAATGTGTATCTTTTTTTAAATTACCTAATAAAAATTTTAATTATTAATCTTCGCCGAAAAAAACAGGAATACATTAGAATGTGACTCTTTATATAAAATTCAATTATTTATCAATTATTAAATTAAAATACTTTGAAAATTCTATTTGCTTAAAAGTTTCTAATGAAAGTCTTTAACAAATTTAATTATTTTCAGTTGAATTTCACAAAATTTCTATTACCTACACTATCGGTCAAAATTGAGAGACCACCCATTTTCAGGCGAATGAAAAACGTTTTAAAACATAAAATTTATTGAAACAAAAATTTTTTTCTGTTCCTTTTTTGAAAGATGATAAAATTTTGAAAAAAACAAAATATTTCAAAAGTAGTTTGGCCAATAATTTGAATAACTTTTAAAATAATGAACGCTCTTTTTAATGGTCTTAGGCCGTCAAACTTAGACCAAAAACAATCAAAAAATTTGAAACATTCTTATTAACAGAAAAATAATTTTTAAAATTCAAACGTATTTTTTTTTAATTAAATTTTCTTAAAAAATCTACACCATATGGTTTTTTTACATATTTTCTAGAATATTTTTTAAATAAAAAGCGTTTTTTAAAAAAGAAATTAAAATAAATAAAACTTTTTTTAATTTGGTGAAAAAATTCCCGGTTTGACATAAAATTCCTGGTTTATTCCTAGTTTTTCCCGGTCAAATAAAATTTCCGGCTGGTAGACACCCTGAAAAAACATAATGAAATTTGTAAAATGAAGAACTTAAAAATATTAAAGACATCTTATGACAGGTTAACGGTTTGGTGAATATTAAATAAAAATTTATATTATTTTAATCTTTAACATCTAAATAATATTACTCTAGTTGTAATTTTAAAGGTACAATATCATGTGTGCAAAACATTAAAATCAGCCTGCTAATTTAGCAATTCTGTTATTCAGAATCCTGCTTCTGGTGTGAATAAATAAAGTTATCGACACTTCAAAACAATGTAGTTTTCATTTTTTAACCAACTAAATCGTTTAAAAGTTTTACTATCAAAAGAAACAATATATACAACACTAATAATATAAAGGGAAATAATTATTAACATAAAAGAGTTTTTATACATTTTAATAATGTTAATTATAGATATTACTTTTGATGTTTTATCTCACCTGAAGCATTGCTCGTTTTAATCTGTTTCCCAAGAATTTGATAAGCAAACAGCAACATTTCCTTTATCAGTTTCTATTATGAATCCTGGCATTAAAACATTTTGATATGGAGAAAATACCTTCTGATTAGTGGGTGTTACATTGCGCATATAATGCAAGGAATATGCTTCTCCTCTATCTCTAAACTGATTTCCAATAAATCCTGCAATAATTTGATTTTGAAATCTGTACATCAAAATTTTCTCAATTATTATAAAATCGACATTATGACAGTAAGCGATATAATTGCAAGTTTGTTTCACTCGAGCAGTTCCTAATTCATATTCTACTCCATGTACAATTGCTTTCTTGTAGAAAATTAATTCGGTATTTTCCTCCACTGGCATATTTGCATCGTTCAAAAGCTGAATTTCTTCTTCTTCTGGGTGGCGCATTTCAGAATTACCTTTTCCTAGAAAATAATGACCATCTGGCATATCTGGATTTATTTCTCTTGTCTTTGTATCCAAAAGAGTTTCTAATTCTTCTCTTGCAACAGGACTAATTTCATATTCTTCAGCTGCTGATAAAACAAATTTCCTCATAAAAAATCTGGTTATTATTTGTTCTGCTCTATGGTACGGGCTAGTAATGCAATCAACAAATTTTTTATTCATAGATTCGAAATGAAAAGTTGAAAATGACCAGGCAGGCCCATAATTGTTGACACACCTCGGAAGATGCCTTAGAAGATGAATATTGTACCTCATGTTAACTATTCCATAAAATCTTTCAAAATCAATAATAAATGTCGACAATAAACGCGCTGCCAAATTTAAATCATCATCCGTGATTGAAGCACTATTTAAAATAAAAATGGCTTTGGCAAGAAGAGCTAGATGTTTAAAATACTGTTGTGGTAAAATTCCTTCTAAACATGGTACTCCCAAGTACAATAAAAAATTTCGCCACTCTGAGGCTTTCCAATTCTTATAAGTCGATAATTCTCGTGGTGTTCTGGCGAGTCTTGAAGGTGTCCTTATTGCTTCCATTCGGCTATCAATTAATGCTTTATTATCATTCTTACCAATATACCATGGTTTCCCAACGTCGTTCATAAATAGTATAAACATATGCCTGATAACTCCAAGATAGGTATTATGAACGATATCAACAACTGTACCTTCTACAAGGTCGAATTCAGGAATGTTGGCTAAAGCTGACCAGCCTTTAACTCCGTTTACAACTTGTTTAGTTTCAACAGCAGTTATTGCTGCTTCAATTATTGACTGATGTGTTCGCAATTCAGCAGGTTCAGCCGTAAAAACCATACGTCCTAAAACAGATTGTCCTCGAATAATGCAAAATATATAACCAAAATAGCCGTTGTACTGCTTCATTTCTAATACATCAGCACGTGCAACTGAGTCCGCCGTGAATATTATGACACGAAATCTGCTTGTAATTTCATTTCCGTCAGGAGAAGTCCATGTTATTCCATCGTCGAATAATTGTTGTATTTCTCTAATAATTGATTGCAGTAAAATTGGCGTAACCGGCTTCTCTTTTCCAATCTACAAGCCTGCAAGGAGTGTATTTTTTTTCTAGCGTGTGGCGAGAACTCGTGAAGTTGCAGAAGAACTGGGTACATTTGAGCATTAGATGATTTGGCTACTTTTGCCCCATCAATCCACAATGTAAGGGTAAAATTATTAGGATCTGATAAAAAGTTACCAGCTTCACACATTTCTTCATATTTGATTCCATTAAAAATATCCTCAATTGCATTATGGTTAATTTTTCTTCTTATTTCCTTATAACGTAATGCGTTGAGTAGTTTTGGAGAATTAAAAATTTCTTTTAACTGGGGAGTCAGAAGTACTTGTACAAAAGTTGCAACATGAGTATCATGAACATTAGGACCGCAAGCACCGCAAGAACATGCTCTTTGAACTTTTTTCCCGTTCCCAATTAATTCGTTGCATTTTTCACAATACAATTGGAAAATCAAGTTTGAATCATTCCGCCCAAGGATTTTCCAAAGTGCTTTTTTTGTGGTTGGTATATTTATATGCATATATGATTTTTTAAACAACTTTAATAGTGACAAAAGTTGTTTGTAAGTACCTTTATATCGGACTGATTGTGCTAAGGCTATTAATAAAAGATCTATTGACATAAAATGTCTGGAAGAACGTAATGGAACTCGCATACCTAGCAAATTACCAAACCCTTGAAACATTGGGCGATCTGGTCTTGCATTTTCTTCATCTGCATCTTCTCCTGGAATTTCCTCCTCTCCTTCTGACGACTCATCTTCTGACGACTCCTCATCTCGAATATATTCGTCATTATCTAATTCTTGCTGTATAAGGTCATTTAGACGCTGCTCTTCTGCTTCTACATTATGGTAATTTATATCCTGATGAATTATTTCTTCGTTACCTATTCCTTGCTGAATTATTTCTTCATTGTTTATTTCCTGCTGAATTATTTCTTCATTGTCGATTTCCTGCTGAATTATTTCTTCATTGTCTATTTCCTGCTGAATTATTTCTTCATTGTCTATTTCTTGTTGTAAAAATACGTTTTCTTGAACTTCTTGAACTTCCATGCCCTCTTCGTTGTTATCCTCTTCAACCGCATCATTTTCCAGTTCTTCTACAACATCTCTTCTTTCTAAATCACCTTCATCCGCTTCCAAGTCACTACTTTCATTTTCATTTAAATCTCTGAGCTCATCTAAAAAACTTCTTCTTGAAATCGGTTCTTCATCCATTTTTATTGATTTGCTATTCCTAAAAATAAAAAGATATTAATTACATTAATATTAACAAAGCTAACAGTTAAGTTGAAGATAAGGACAGTTGTTGCAAAATAATGTTACATACCGCACGCTAATGTGCCAATAAATTCTTTCATATTTAAATATAAATTGTTATAAACCAAAAAAAGTTTTTAAATATTTTCAATAACTTTAAATTTATGCATTTTCTAAAAAAAAATATTTCCTCTCTAAATATTCTGCAAATATTATTGAAAAAATTGTTCGTTTACTAAAAAAAATAGTTATTTTAAATAACCTAGGATTCATTTTATTGTCTTTGCAACTTGTGAAGATAACAGGGTTGCCACAAGTCAGGGAATTCAGGGAAAAGTCAGGGGTTTTTATTAAAAGTACTGGGAAAAATTTAATTCTTTGGAATCATAAGAAAATTCGGAATTTAATTTATTTATTCAATTATCGTCGCAATGCAACGATTTTCAATATTCACTATTTTCATAAAATGTTTCAAATAATTTAATTATTGAAAAAAAATTTTGATACAATTCTACAAAAATATTCAATTATTCCATAAAAAAATTTCATTTAGTAATTTAATTATTTTCATCGCACAATTCAAAATGTTGTCAATACAAATTTTAAATAAATTCCTCAAAAAATGCAATTACTCTAAAAAAATGTATTAAAACTTGACAATAGAATTCAATTTTAAGAAACTTTCAATTATTCAATAAAATAATGGAATTCGTTACAATAATTCAATTATAGTTTCATAAATGACTTTTAATTGAATAAACTATTTATTCTTGTATTTAAATATGAATTTCGGGTTAAATTTCAGATAATAATTTTAAATTAAAAGCATTATTGCATTATTTTTCAATTTTTTGAAAAACATTTCGTATTTATATAAAGGTTACCAAAATGTTTCTCAAAAAATAGGGAGTAAAAACAGTTTAATTTTTGACTTAAAGGGCAATAATTTTAAGCTTAAAAAAATTATAACCGGTTCTTTAATTGGGACCCTCAATTAAATAAATTTATAAATTAATGTATTAAAACATTTTTCTCAGAATCTAATCATTTTTAGAGTAATAAATGAATTTTCTTTAGGGTTAGGAAAAAAGTTAAAATTCTGTCTGGAAATCAGGGAAAACAAAGTTAAATTTTTGTAGCAACCCTAGATAAGAATATACTTCTGTATATTTTTCATTGACTACCAATGATGTCGAGGAAACGTGAGAAGAACTCTGTGTTAAAAATGGCAGTGGTGTGGTTTGAGCCTGCTTCTCTTTATTCTGTATATAGTAGATATGAATAAAATGTTAAAGAATAAAAGAATATTAGATTTTTATCCAGAAATAAGATTCAATGGAATATATGACAAAAAATGAAAAAAAATTGATTTGTCAAAAGATGAAGATTGATAATAAAAAATAAAGATTTTTCTCCAAAAAATTCCTAAGTTGCGATTATCTCGAAAACTATAACCGACAGAATGGACCCTTTTTATGTGGACGTCCACATATGATAATGTTGAGAAAGGAGGTAATTGAAAATGACAACAAATAGCATGTAATTTATAATAAATTTAGTTCTTTTTCATTGAATGTTAAAAATAATACATATTGGTCTACTAACACGCTAAAAATTTAGTTATAATTAAAAGTCTGAAAAATATCTTTTAGACTATATATTATTAGAACATGAAATTTTCTAATATATCATTATTAGAATTAGACCTTTTCATTATAAAATATAAAAATGCGATTTTAACAAAAAGTAAAACTTTTAACTTTTACAACTTTAATAATAAAAACATTCATATAATACTTTAATAGAGAAAGTTAAATTTTCATTTTTAATGCAGCAGTGGCTTTTACTAAAACGGTCGCATAAATTTTGTTTGCCGTTTTACATTATAGTGATTAAGTTCTAATCAAATCATTAATAGATTCATTATTATAGAAATAACTATTAAAAAGTATCTTTCGTTTATAATTATGCTGAATATATTATTCCGATTCTTCCTCGTCTTCACTCTCAGTGTCATTCTCCTGTAAATTTAATACATAAAATTATTTAATAATGAAACATTGCAGTACTTTTATTGTAAAAATTCAGTAAAGTATATTATTCAAAATTAAGTACCTTAAGCATATTATTCAATGGTCACGTGACCACTAAATATAACATGACGTTAAAGAGTATAAATTCCGTCTCTATTTTTTGGAGATAGAGTACTCCCTTAATATCTCATTTCGAAATAGTCACAAACATTAAAGATTAAATTTTGTATACGTGTTTAAACTTAAAGACCGAACAAAAATTTTAAAGCTACAATAAATAAATAAAATAAAGTAAAACTAGTTTCTATTTATTCAAAAATTTTTTCCCTTCTAAAATATGTTTTTTGGTTATTGCATTAAATTACCTCTGATTCTGTAGAACTCATTCCAGTTCCTGATTTTGATCGATGCTTTCGGAGAATGAGAGAAATCTTTTTTTTAATGTTTTCCATGAGGAACGGATTTTCGTTTATATTTTTTAGTTTCAAATCTTTATCTGTTTGCATTTCCAACAAAATTTCTGTAAATAATTAAAAAATAAGTTAGTGTAAAGTGCGGATAGATGCCCCCTTTCTCAGATCTCCCATATAAAAGAAACTATGTTTATGTATTATTTATTTTTTTAATACCTATTAGCCATAACAATATTGCTATAAAGTTTCAGCCCTCTGGCACTCCGGGATTATTAGTTATAATAAAGTAAAATTTCAGATTGCTGGCGAGTCCAAACATTTACAAATTTTTAGTTTTAAACAATCAATCCTTAAAGCTTTTCATAGCCTCGAAATAATTTAAGAAAATGAAAAATGTTTACACACATACGTATTGACGTTTATTAAAAATGTGATTTTTAATTCATGGGGTCAAAAATATAAATTCAAAAGCTCGTATTCAAAAAATTGTTGTATATATCAATTATTAGAAAGAAAATTGCTTAAAATGTTATAAAATACTTATGTATCTCCGATATTTGGTCAGTAATTCGACTGCATAAAGTTTCATGATTGTATTTTTGATTGACTGTAATAAATATTTCATTTTAACTTCAGAATTAATAAAAATTAAACATTTCTCATAGTTTTTTCTTTTTTTTTACTCTCAAGAAAATTTTGTTTATTGTCTTTGGTTATTGTCTTTGAATGTTTAGCAACGCTACGCGCAGGAAACATTTGAATATAATATGCCTGCGTAAAACTGACCAATATATGAAATAAGAGATAATTTCATTTGGCTATTTCTCAGAAAATTTAATATAATATAATTATAATAATATAATTGAAAAATTTAGAAGTACAAAGAATATTGTCAAAAATCTTTTGTTGTATTGTTTTAGTATGACCAGTTATATGTAAATGTTGAAGCATGTAAAATCTGATTAAAAAATAAATATCTATATAATAATTTTTCTTATCTACAAAAGAGAACAGACCGGATACTAACTTGCAATATTTTTATCATCTGAATGTTTTATTTTTTGATATTTTTCTCTTTTTATTCTCGTTGAACATTTATATCCTACAAAGTTCAGCTTCTCCTGTGGCCAATATCCATAAACTATATTTTTTAAACGTTTATAGAACGTAGTCGAATTTTGTGCACCATTTAAGGAGTCTGCATTTATAAGAACGTCTGCGTATGTCGTCTGAAATGTTTTTTGTATCATTTAGTTTCTTTCATCTTAATAATATAGTATGTAAGTGTCTACATACACTATTTATATTTCTTTAAATTCAAATTAAAGACTTTTGTTTTATAATATTACGATAATCTACATTACAAAAATTAAAATTTATGACAATTTGTAATACTTCATTAAAATCAATTAACAAGTGCACACTTCTCAATTTTACTTGAAGATTTAAAAAGTAAAAGTATACATATAAATAAAAATGAAATTTTCCTTGAAATATTATGGTAACTTAAAACCCTAAAGAAAAATTGAATATCGTTACACTGGCTGTTTTGGTCAATGAAATTATTAATTTATTCTTGAAATAAATCAGTTTCGATAATCGCGCAGAATTTTCTAAATTTATTTCCTTTATTGTCATTTTTACTTTCAATTATTAAAAAATAAATCGCAGTAGAAAAAATTTGAATGTTTCATTAAAATTGAATTTATGTAAATTTACAAATATTTCAAATGTTTTTACCATAGCAGATTCAGAGTCTTCAAAACTGTGTATTGCCGGACGTGCAGCAACCATATTTTTTATATCCTCAATGTCATTTTGAACCTTATTAAACATTTCTTGCTGAGAATCATATTTTTCTTTTAAAAGGCAATTTTCTGCAGTGAGTTTTCTACATTGCAAGCACCCATAATTATCCTGAAATTCGAGATGAAACCAAAATATTAGGCACTGATTAAAGTTTTTATTTCAGTTTAGTAGAAAAAAAGACAATGAAATTTATTTATTATTTATCAAATTTACGTTTGCTAAAGATTCAATTTAAAGTTTTTTTACCTCATGCACATTTTTTGAAGTTCCCGCTTCCTGATTAATTGCTTTGGTTTGTAATAAGTACCCCATTGGTTTTTTTATCTAAAATGGAAAAAAAATTAGACTCTATATATATTAAACCCCAGATCTAAGTTAATGGAAAATCACTGATTTTTAAATCATTATAAAGTTAATAGAGTAGTGAATATGTACAAGGTGTAAACTTGAACAATATATACATATTTCCCATATTTTTTTGAAGAAAACAAAATGATTAAACAATGGTAAAATTAAACAAAACAAAAAAATATTTACTATTTTTAAATTGTCATCACACAGAAAAATGCTACTTAAAATTAAATCATTATTAACATTGATAATAATCGTAGTTGGAAATATACTGAAAAATAAAACTACTAATATTAAGTAAAATTGTATTGTAAATAATAATAGACAGAATAAATTTATTTTCCCTAAAAGTATCAACGCTATGAAGATTCAGTATTTCCATAAAAAATACCTAATTTCTTAAAATAAATGTTTTTCTATTGAAAGAAGATGCACGAGTCATGGAATCGTGTAAGTTATATAATTTTGATAAAAGTTGTTTTCAAAGTTTTGTATATAATTTTTGTTAGTTTGCAATTTACAGTATATATTAAGTACCTGATTTGAACTCCCACAAGTTATTTGCTTCGAGACACTTGTTGATAAAGTCGAAGCAGCTAGTTTCTCTTTCTAAAAATTAAATATAATAATAATAATAATCTTATTATATTAAAACTTTAAATTATCAAAATTTGTAACACTTTAAGTTGACTTAGCAATGATTAGAAGTTTTTGAAAATATATTTAGAAAATTAATGCATTATTAATAAAACTTACTCTCCTCAAGCAATCATCCATCATGGCCTTCTGTAAGTCTTTATGAACTTTAAGTTTAGTAGCAGCAGCTTCCTAAACAGAGGAAATTTAGTTTAAAGTAATATCTATGTGATTCAAAAATTGATTATCTTCTATTTTTTAAAATTCACCTTATTTGATTGGGCCTTGTTCTTTTCTGAGACTTTCTTTTTAGATTTATTTTCATCTGCAGATATTGTAGGAGTATATATTTTTTTGGCTTCCTGATGCGTTTACCTTTTCGTACATCTGAAGAACAGAATAATAATAAAGCATATTAATCAGAAGCTTAAAATTCAGGATAAAACTTAAATTTCATTTACTTTCTACATTGTGTTTTCATAATGATATTACAGTAATTAATTTGATTCACGAGATATTCTTACATATAATGGAAAAAGAGAGACGATAATAAAATAACAAAAATTTCTTTTTAAGTTTAAAGATATTTGTTACTACCATGAATTAATAATGATTATTAAAAAGTGAAGAAACCAAATCCATAATCTTATGATCGCTTGAACAAATAAAAAATGTGAAAATAACGAGATTTTATAGAAACAAATTACAATTAAACTTGTTTTCTCACAAAATATTTAAAGAATTTTAAATAAAACAAAAAAAGTAAAATGAAACTCAAATTGAATCTAGATATTTCGAATTAAGTAACAATTGAATATACCATTCTCCATAACTTGTTTGCTGTTTGTCGGAGTCTCCGTCATTGAACTCATATTCTTCTGGAAGAAAATTAAAATGGAATACTTTCTATGAATAAAAATGCATTTAAAAAAATATTTTTATTTAAATTGATTAAAAAATCAAATATGGTTTTGATTTAAAAGGCTGCTTGTTAATACTTTTATTTCTAATATCATTTCTTAAATTTTTTATCCTTAGTAATTTTCAATTTTGATATAATTTTAAATGCATTATGAAATGGTTTCAAATGTAGAAAAATATTTTTATGTGCACAAAAAAATAAACAATGCTTATCGAATTAAGGTGAAAATAAAATAGAAAAAAATAATTTAAGTGAGAAACATAAAATATAAAATTTTTCTTAATTCACTATAAAATGGAAAATAAACAATTTTATGAAACAGATAGACTAATTAAAAAAGAGACTAATAGAAATGAAATATTCAAATCAGGGACAATCTACAAAAAATTTCCACATTCATAACAATCAGAAAGTTTTTTTTGTAAATTTATACGTAAATCAACTAGATCTCTTAGTTCAAGTGTCTTTTTTGGAACTTTATTAATTTTTAATTTATCGTGTAAAAAACCTTTTAATATGTATGAAAAAAGGGCTTTTTCATGAATAAAATTTGTTCTCACTTCATCACAAATGGTTTTGTATATATATATATACATAGAAATCTTCTTAAAATTAGAGAAAAATAAAACAAAAGTGATTGAATCGGAGAATTATTAAAGAAAGTAGAAAAAGCACTCAAGAATAAAATACGAGGAAATGGCAAAAAATATATCATAAACTTACGTGTGTACTGCTGATATCATATAACTAACTGATACACTCAATAATTTTCACCAAATTTGAATAAGAATAAGAATATTGAATAAGAATATTGTTATATTCTTATTCAAAACATAAAATAGTACGAGTTCAGATTCAGTTCAGATTCGAACGCGGAAAATTGTAAAGACGTTACTGGACGTACGGCGTTACCGGCGAAGAGGTTAGCGATATCAATGGGTTAGCGCAAGAGATGCGAAAAGGCAATGTTACACGGAGAACCGTAATGAGAACATTATTAAAGGAAAATATAAAGGCCAACGCACAATAAATTTGCGAAAGTCGTTCTCGAATGAGATGCATGAGATAGAAAAGGACACAAAGATATCTCTGTCCTTGTCTAACTTATGCTTCGCGTTCGTGAAGCGGTTTTGCTTAGGCCTTAACCGGACTAAAATTCACCAGGAGAATTTAAGATAACTTTTTGTCTTTCATACCAAATTCAGTTTTTAGATTGGTTATTTTAATATTTTAAAAGATAAAAAGCATAATTATTTAGTAATAATTTATTTAAAAATGTTTTGAATTATCAGATATATTAATTTTTATTTACAATTTTCTTATAACGAACAATACAAAACACTATAAGATACAAACAACTTCGAAAAAATTAACTTGATGACTCTCATCTTAAAAATATTATTTGTTTTATTCAAATTCAGACTTCGCACTCGATAATTAAATTTAAGAAAGTAGCAAAAAGTATCTTTCAAACTAAAAAAAGTAGTAAAAAAGTATCTGTAGAAAAATTAAACTTGACCACCAAAAAAACTCGTTTAATCACTTCACAAAACTGACAAAAACTCCATTTTTATTTTCCTGACTTTTTCCTAATTTTCATAAAAAATATTTACTTCTTTCTTATCCTGCTAATAAATTATATTCCTGCAACGAATTTTATGATTCTTGAAAGAATTTAAATATTTATAAAAAATAATTTAATTCTTGTCAAGAATTTTTAAATAATTCATTTCTTTCGACTAATTTTATGCAAAATCTAATTTAAATAATTGATTTACTAAGAATTTTTTATTTTTCATGAAAAGAATTGAATTCTTTCGAAGATTTTTACAAAAAAAATTTTTAAATAATTGAATTCTGTTTGGAAATTTTCTAAAAAAGTTAAATATTGCAAATCATTGAATTGCGAATAGTTTTTAAAAATAATTAAATTTTACAAAGAATTCTATTAAAATTTTTGACAATAATTGAATGTCTGTGCGGTATTTTATTATAGTTTTTATGAAAATAATTGAATTCCTAGAAAACATTTTATTATTTATGAAAATAATTGAATTTTGCAAAGAATTTGATTAAAATGCCTCAAACTAATTAAATTTTCGGGAATGATTTTGTTATTTATTGACATAATTGAATTCTTTGGAAGAATTATTTACGTAAATAATGGGATTCTTGGGAAGAATTTTATTTAAAAAAAATAACTGAATTATTTCAATAAGAAATTATTTAATAAATTGTATTTAAAATAATTGATTTCTTGCGCATAATTTTATTAAAATAAATGAAAATACATAATTGAATTCCTGTTAAAAATTCTAATATTTTTGTAAATAATTGAATTCTTCCAAAGTAATTTTAAAAAATATTTTTTTAAATAATTGATATTTTCAAGGAATTTAAATTAAATTTTTAAGAATAATTACATTTTTGAACAATTCCTGTAAAATTGTATTAAAAATTATTAAAATCCTGTGATGAATTTTTCTATTATTTATGAAAATAATTGAATAGATGATAAGAATTTTATTAAAATTTTTAAAAATAATTGAATTCCTGAGAAGAATTTTATTATTAATGAAAAAATAATTTAATTTCTGAGAAAATTTTTGTTATTTTTAAAAATAATTTAATTCTTGGCAAGATTTTTATTAAAATTCTTTAAAATAATTGAGTTTTTTAAAGAAATTATTTCAATTTACTTGAAAATAAAGGAATTTTTGAAAAACAGTTTTTAGTGAAAGTTTTAAAAGTAAATGGATTTTAAACCAAGTTTAAGTCCACAACGTTGACCAACGAAGAAAAATTGTTCAATTAGTAAATTAATTAAAAATGATGCAGCAATATTTACACAAAAATTTTTAGAAAAAAAAGATTGATGTTTATATTTTAATAATAATTATTTAACAAATAAATATTGAATTAAAAATAATAGTTGAATGCATTAAATAAATTTTTTTCGTTGATAAACGTGGACTTCAACTTCGTAATTTTAAGAAGAATTTCTATTAGGTTTTTAAAATAATCGCGTGTTTATTATTAATTGTAATTAACGTTTTTCCTATTTAATTATATTAAAACTATTCATAAAAAATTAAAGTCGTTTAAACAATTTTATTAAAGTTTTTGTAAATTCACTTATTTTCAATAAAATTTTAATTAATTTCTTCGAAAATTTAAATTATTTTTAAAAATCTTGTAAAAATTCTCCCAGAAGATTCAATTATTTTTAAAAAATAATTGAACTTTTTGCACGAGTTTAAAAAGTTTAAAAAACTTTTAATAAAATCCAATTCAAGAATTCAGTTATTTTTAAACATTCTTTTGAAATTCTTCTAAAGAATGAAATAATATTAATAAATAGTAAATTTTTCACAGGAATTCAATTACTTTAAATACAATTTTTTAAATTCTTCTCAAAAATTCACATATTTTTTTTAAATTCTGCAAAAATTCAATTATTTGTAGAAATAATACACTTTCTCAGCATGGATTCAATAATTATTTTAAAAAGTTTTAACAAAATTCTATTTAAGAAATCAATATTATTTATAGAAATAATAAAATTGTCGATTTATTGAAAATCATATTTAATTCTTGTAAAGTATTTATAAAAAAAATTTGAAAATAATTAAATTATTTAAATTCTTTTCAAGAATTTTATCAACATTTTTTACAATAATCGAATTCTTTCGAGAAAATGTAATTAAAATTGTATTGAAAATAATTTAATTTTTGGCAAGATTTTTATTAAAATTCTTTAAAATAATTAAAATGTTTTAAAGAGTTTATTTCAATTTTCTTGGAAATAAAGGAATTTTTTTTGAAAAATTTTTATTGAGAAATTTTGAAAATAATTGAATTTTAAGAAGTAATTCTTTTCAGTTTTTAAAATAATCGTGTTTATTATTAATTGTAATTAACGATTTTATTAATTATTTTAAATTTAATTTAATTTTAAATTATATTTAAATTATTCATAGAAAATTAAAGTCTTTTAAACAATTTTATTAAAGTTTTTGTAAATAATTCCTTTCTTTCTTAACGAATTTCATTAAATTTCGTAATAATAATGTAATTTTTTAAAGTAATTTTAATTGAAAATTTTGAAAATAATTGAAATTTACAAACAGAATTTTATTTAAAACTTATGAGAACAATTGAATTATTCAGAAAAATTTTATTACAATTTTTAAAAATAATTAAACCTGTTATTTTTAATAAAAATAATTTAATTTCTCAGAAGAATTTTATTATTTACAAAAATAGTTAAATTCTGGCCAGGAATTTTACAAATTTATAAATAATAAATGAATTGTTTCGAAGAATTTTTTATCAGAATTGTTGAAAATAATTGAATTTTTAATAAAACTCTTGAAAATAATTGAATTTAAATAATACTTTTTTAAAATAATTGTATTCTTTTGAGAAAATTGTTTAAAACTGTATTGAAAATAATTGAATTCCTCTGAAACATTTTTTTATTATTTATGAAAATAATTGAATTCTTGAGGAGGATTGTGTTGCGACGAACTTTTTTATTTATGAAAATAATTAAAGTGTTTCGAAGATTTTTATTTGAATTTTTTAAATTAATTGTATTTATATAAAATATAGAAATAGTGCGTTAAAAATAATTCAAATTCTTTGATAAAATTTATTATTTATGATAGTAGGTTTTAGTAGATGAGTGCGAAGCCTGCAAATTGTTTATTAATACGTAATTATTGAATTAATATTAATGTTAATTATTTTATTAATTGTCGATTTTTATTTAAACAATTTTAAGTAAGGATTATTTTTAAAAGATTTTTTTATTTAAAAAAGTAGGAATAATAAAATTAAAAGTATTAAATGTAGAAATAATATCTCATTTTTAAATAAAAAGATTTCAAAATTTTATTATAAATTAATAAATATACTGAAGTATAAAATAAGTATAATATAATCTCTGCGTACGTGAATGTTTCCAATAAAATATACTCATATCAATGAGCCTAAATATTTTCAACTTATTATTAACTGCGAGTTTTTCAAAATAAACCAAATCAAAACAATAAAGACATTTTAATATCAAAACAATCAACTGTTATTTACAGTTAGAAACAAAATTTAATATTTGAGAAATATTTAAATTAATAAAATTTTGATATATGACAATAAAAATTTAAAGAAAAATCCTAATTATTTGTAAATATTTAGAAAGGATAAAATTTTAAATGACATTTATTAAAATAATCAATTAAGAAAATTAAACATTTTTATATACAATTATATATTTAACAATTTCAGCAAAGTGATTTTTGTTATTAAAATTTTATGAAAAAATTGTTATTGATACAAGATCGTGCTTAATTTTTTTTAATTTTATAGAAAAATCAATTAATAATAGGTCTAAAATAAATTTTTTAAAAGAGGTTAGATTATAAACTATTTTTTTATTTTTAAATTGTGTAAATAATGAAACCTTAATTTTTATATGTACCACGCGTAGTGAATTTTTATTAAATCTTAAAATTTAATAATGATATTAATGTATAAATAAATAAATAAAATAAAATGATAAATATAAATAAAACTGCAAAATTTATTGGTTTATTTTGTATTAAATTTAAATTAAAAAAATTTTTTTTTGATCAACTTGTTATTTAATATTTTTCTTTTTTTGTAAAAACAAAATAATAGTTTATAATCCTACAATATTTCCGACACTCTATCTGTTAATATTTAAATTTGTTTAAAATTAATTGTACTAAAAAAAAGCTTACCCTCATGTAGATTTTATCCAGCATTTGTGCAATCCAATTTATCCAGCAAGTAAATTCTCCAAAAATAATTACTTCTAAAACTAAATCACAAATGAACGATTCTATTTGAATAAAATTTTGGCAGAACTATTAACGTTTTCTTTCACATAGTGGCGCACTATTATTTAATTACCGTCTGATTTATGTAGCCTAGAAACAAATTTTCTTTAACTAACTGGTGTATTCCACTTCAGTTCAACACAAAAAATTTTATTAGGTTTTGGGATTCGGTTGAAATTGGGTAGATTATATCCTCTAATAGTAATAAATAAAATCCCCAAGCGATTTTAAAAAATTTCAAAAATTGGCGGACATATTGGATTTTTAATTTCTTTGTACTTTTTTTTGAAAAATATATATCTCTGCTTCTTCTTAACGGATTTTAGTTTATAACCTCTTAAATTGTTCGTATTGAAATATGCTTTTATTTAAAAAATTAAAATTAAAAAAATTATTTAAATTTTTTGTTTAAAAAATTAATTTAATTTTTTGAAAAGCCATAGAAAAAATATGCTACCTTCAATTTTGATCATTTTTTTACCATTTGTAGCCATAAATGTGTTGAACTTGTCCTGAAATTTTCATCGTGGGACAGCCAGTAGTTTTTGAGAAAAAAAATAAAACGTAAATCCTCGCATAGCGCTGTAGCGCTCAGTTTTAATGCCGCACGATTGTAAATGGAATTTTAATGAAAGTACGAGTTTTTATTAAGCCTAGAACTAAAATATGATTTTTTTATAGACTAACGAAAAACTGGGGTGGTTTGGTACCCCAGATTTGAAACAATTGTAAAAGGTTACCTTTTTTGTAATTTTTTTAATTTGTCAACAATGTGGCTAATTTGAAAAAATTAAACGGATTTTAAAAGGTAAATAGAGACAATTTTATTTTGATTAAGGCAACTTGAAAATTTAAATATTATTTACAATATATACAAATGTTAAATGATTTTAAAATAGAATAAAAATCATTTATTACAAAGGAGGTTTCTATTTTTTACGGGGGAGTTTCCGAGGTCTTACAGTTTTTTTTATTTACCTTTTAAAATCCGTTTAATTTTTTCAAATTAGCCACATTGTTGACAAATTAAAAAAATTACAAAAAAGGTAACCTTTTACAATTGTTTCAAATCTGGGGTACCAAACCACCCCAGTTTTTCGTTAGTCTATAAAAAAATCATATTTTAGTTCTAGGGTTAATAAAAACTCGTACTTTCATTAAAATTCCATTTACAATCGTGCGGCATTAAAACTGAGCGCTACAGCGCTATGCGAGGATTTACGTTTTATTTTTTTTTCTCAAAAACTACTGGCTGTCCCACGATGAAAATTTCAGGACAAGTTCAACACATTTATGGCTACAAATGGTAAAAAAATGATGAAAATTGAAGGTAGCATATTTTTTCTATGGCTTTTCAAACAATTAAATTAATTTTTTAAACAAAAAATTTAAATAATTTTTTTAATTTTAATTTTTTAAATAAAATCATATTTCAATACGAACAATTTAAGAGGTCATAAACTAAAATCCGTTAAGAAGAAGCAGAGATATATATTTTTCAAAAAAAAGTACAAAAAAATTAAAAATCCAATATGTCCGCCAATTTTTGAAATTTTTTAAAATCGCTTGGGGATTTTATTTATTACCACCAGAGGATATAATCTACCCAATTTCAACCGAATCCCAAAACCTAATAAAATTTTTTGTGTTTAACTGTCGTGGAATACACCAACTGTAGTCGATAACATGGAAATCACACGGTTTATGATATGCTTAAAAATTTAAGCTAATATATATTATTATTATTATTATTCATTTATCATTAAACGTCACTCTATTAAATTTATTCATTTATTTTTATATTTTTTATTGTTTTATTTCTAATTTTAATTCTCTTGGAGTTTTTTTAAATAGCTTCTGAAATTAATAATATTAAACCATAAAAGAAAAAAATTGCTTCCAAGTCAAGGAAACAATAGTTTTGTTTAGATTGCCTAATTTTTGGAAAATCTCTGAGAAAAAATAAGAACTTTTATTTTAATTGGTCTAAAGCATATCCATTTTTCCTTTTGGGGGTTTGAATTTAAATTAATTAAAATTAAATTTAATTTTTAAATATTAATTTTTTCTACATTTTGTTGAACTCAACCAACAAATAAAAAAAATGGTAGGTAATTTGAAAATAGGAGGAGTTTATTTTTATTGGACAGAAGTCTTTTTTTCTTAATAGGTTAAGACTATAAATGTAACTTTTTAAAAATAAAATACTCACTCCCTTTTTTTACTTGTTGAACCATCGAATAAAAAATTTCTTTATTTAAGTAGGAGAAGTTAGAATCTCATTTTAATTTGTCTAAAAAGTAAATTTTCTAAAAATTTTAGAAAACCGGGAAAAAATGATCTATTTTATCTTTCTTAGTATAATTGATTTGTAGCATTATTTCTATTTATTTTCTGCTATTTTTATTTTTTATATTCTATTAAATTGATTAAATTGATTTATGTAACTAAAATTCATCTTGAAAAGTTGGTTTTCCTATTTCTTATTTTGAATGTGATTATGTGATAAAACAGGGAGGACGAATGTCAGTCCCGCCATCTGTCGTGACAAATGCGCGGCGATATATCAAGTAGTATATTATCATCGCTTTACACACACACACGCATACATCTCACGGTAGAATTGACATGACATCTAAAACTTTAAACATTAATTATTCAATAAGTAAACATTAATTTGCCGTAAATATGTAATAAATAAATGCTGTAATGATTACTTTTGTCAAATTATGTAAGTTTTCCTAATTTTTTCTTTTCATTATTCACTAAATATGCTATTTAAAAGACACTATAAATGCACAGAAAAGTACTTTGGCTTAATCAATTTTTTTTAATAATAATCACCGCTTCTATCTCAATTAAACACTGTAAATTAATTCATTGATTGTCATTCTATTAAATTTATTCATTTATTTCTATATTTTTGATTGTTTTATTCCTAATTTTGAGAAAAAAGTCATGGTACGCAAACAGTACGCTAGTGGTACGTTATAACGTACCACCAGCGTTCAACAAAATCGCCAGGGAGTATAAGTCATACTGTACTATCATAGTATAAGTATAATAGTATAAGTCATATTATGTTATCATTAGTATAAGTCATTAACACCTTTTTTTAATTTTTTTCTTAAATTCGAACCTTTTTACGTATAAATATATTAAATCGTTTTAGATATTTTCATTATTTTTAATGTAAAAAAAATGTTCAAAAAAATTTCAATTCCGGGAGATGAGATGAAATTGTTCGGAATAGTTGAAAATCAGTCTTGTTTCATTATTCTAATTATACTTTATGATCAGAAATTGACAAATAAAAATTAAATACCATAAAATGAACTGCTTTTTGAACTTTTTTTGTAGATATCTTAACAAAAAGTCTGCTCCGACAAACTAAAAAGAAACACTTACATTGAAAATTGCGCTAAAAAACTTTAGGGTCTCCCATTGCTCGGAATTATAAATTATGAAGTTGTAACGAAACGGCTCTCTCTCATTACATTTACAATACATAAAATTTAGAAATAAGAATAAATCAAAATTAAATTGAATTATTCTATTAAACACAATAAAATTTTAAAGAACAATATTAAGATGTAAGAAATATAGGACACAATTCACCAAATAATAAAATCAAAAGACGAAATAAACTATTCATAAAATTATTTAAGATTATTTTTTAAAACTTTCAAAAATTATTTGATTTATAATTAATTAGTATCAATGATCGACTTCAATAATTAACATACCCTGTAAAAAAAAAAGTATTGGGAGGTACGGGATTCCGTATTGCAAGTGCCAACCTGCCAATGCGGTATTCGCGAATTACCGCATTGGGTGTCGTGGTGAATACGGAAATCAAGGGGTCCCAATGCGGTGCCAGTTTTAAGCTTTAAAAAAACGAAAATACGTGACAGGAGGAAATAATTAGTGTCAGTGGAGAAATATGCGAGTTAAAGGAATGAGAAAAAAATGAAATTTTAAGAAAAAAAGGTAAGTTGAACTGTCAAATATGGGCCCAATGCGGCATAGGCTGATTTCAATGCGCCACAGCAAAAGCAACTTTGACTGGTTTAAATGGTGTGAAATAGGTAAACAAACATTTTTTAACACATTTGTCTCCGTACACAGACACTTTTCACTAAATCTGCCAACGTACAATTGGTAAGCATCTTCTAAATTACAATAATCGAAAATATTGTTTAGATTCATGCAGAAACGTGGTTATAAAATAAAAAATTGGAAAGTAATGTAATGCAAATCATATGTCAGCTGGGCCACTGTGTTCGCTCGATTCGCTCTGCTTGCTTCTGCCCTCTACTGGCGACTTGCACTATGTACCGATTGTGTACCGCATTGAAAGCAGCCTACGCCGCATTGGACTCATATTTGACAGTTCAACTTACCTTTTTTTCTTAAAGTTTCATTTTTACACTCACTATTATTATTTTCTCATTCCTTTAACTCGCATATTTCTGCACTGACACTAATTATTTCCTCCTGTCACGTATTTTCGTTTTTTTAAAGCTTAAAACTGGCACCGCATTGGGACCCCTTGATTTCCGTATTCACCACGACACCCAATGCGGTATTTCGCGAATACCGCATTGGCAGGTTGGCACTTGCAATACGGAATCCCGTACCTCCCAATACTTTTTTTTTTACAGGGTATATCTTATAGTTTAAATATAATACACACAAAACAAAAGGTTGAGCTCATCACCGAAAATACACACACTTATTTTCATTCAATATTACTCTCGAGAATTAAAAATTAAACAATGATTATAAATTGCAAAATACGATGGCGACAAGAAAACGATAAATATATATTCATATAAAAAATTAAAATCAGAGACAGTTTCTCATTATAAAAGACATTTTAGACTTTTTACTTTAAATTTCAATGATATGATTTGAGACAACAAAATATCAATAAAGAAAATTAAACTTTTCGATATTCAATGAATAAAAAGATCACAAACAAATAGACGATGATTTTTTGCCACTTTAAAGACTGATACCTTTTACATACATCATATGCGGAGGGGATTATCTGAATAGCGAGTATATCCAACAATGATGATGATGCTCACATTCATAGGGTACACATGGTGATGTAGAAGGATGATTCCTCTTATTTTCGCAAGGTTCCAAATCGTCTAGTGTACATAAGTTGCGTCTCATCAGGTAGCACAAATCATCAGCAATAATGTTTCTCTTTTTATAACATATTTAACGACCCGCTACACATATCAAAAGAAACAAAAAAAAAACATTTATAACAAACGCAATGGACACACGCGTAAAAAACAATATATCCATAAATTAATTATTAGAAATGCAAATTGAAATAACGTTACAATAAAGTGACGCTCACCTCTTACAACGGGTCGAGAATTTTCGTGAACACAAATATATGTTAATCGTCTGTCTTTACATGAGAAAATGCTCCCTACTCAGAGAGTCCAGCAATT